AGACACCATCTGTGTCAGGCATCTCTGTTTGGAAATAGCTGAGAACTCTGGGCGCTCCTCAACTGAGAATGAGGAACCATAGGTGGGGGCTTTTGAAACAGGGAATGCGCCCTGGTCCCAGCTGGTAGGTCAGAGCAGCTGCCAATAAAACTAGATGCCGAGGCCTCAGAATAACGGGTGAAAAAATTTCAGTGAAGAGTAGAACCAGATATAACCTCTGGCTAGTGAACATGTCACATGATGTGGAAGGACATGAATAAGGCCTAAGAGCCTGGAGCCTTGAAGAGCACCACCATTCCCACCAGCCTTTCTCCTTCTGCCCCCAAGGGAAGGCAGCTGCAGGTGAGTACCAGAATCCAGAGTTGGCCCACACATGCTCAGCTGGGCCTGGTTAGGACTGTAGCAACCCCAGAGTGCCAGGGATTGGTACCTTGAAGGATGGCAGAGGAACGAGTGACAGTGAGGGCCAGGTTAGGCATGGAGGAAAGATGAGGGATGATGGGACAGTGGCAAACCTATAGGTAACCAGCCTGGCCTGGGGCCTGGACAATCAGGGACTATTTGGGGGTATTTGGAGTTTGTCCTGATACCTTTGTAGCCTCTCTGTTTCTTCTGACTTTCTCTAAACCTTTCCAAGCTTATACTGCTGGGGCACTGGGCAGCTTGACTGAGGCTGCCTTCTTCCAGGTGTAGAGGGGAACTGACAGAGGGGAGCCCCATCTGGCCCTGGTGGCACCGCTCTGGGGCACTAAGCGGGGTTTGGAGGCCATTGTATTTTGAGTGACAGGCCTCACTGCCGAATGCTTTAGACTAGAAGCAGCTTGCTGAGTGGGCACAACAAGAAGATGGCCACATTAGCATCACCATCTTATTTCCCCTTGTGGCTTTCTGAGTGGGATTGTGGTCACATCCTGGGCAGCTACCCAAAGCTTTTATTATCCTTAGACAAGTCCAAGCCCACTTAGGCTTGGAGAAGCGCTAACTCATTCGTCTACTTTGAGCCAATGGTGGCTGGCATTTCCTTGCTCTCTGCTGAAGATTCAGCTCACTCAAGACACGTGATGCCCTTGTGAAAGCTTCTGGCCACCAGAGCTCAGAGACCATCTGGTTGGATTGCCCTGGGCCCCTCCTTTAGGGTACAGAACCTGGCCATAACCTGCAGGTTTGGCAGCCTGTGTGACATCGCTTCTTGTATCATATCAGGTGACTCAAATAATGATCATGCCTGTTGACACTTAGAGCTCTCCCAGGGAATTCTGAGCAGCTACGGAAAGACAAACAGCTCAAGGGTACTTGTGCCAGACGCTGCCTATGCAGCTGGTGACTATGTCATTGCTGGAACAATAAAGCAGGTTTCTAGGCAAGCACAGGATTGTGGATTGAATGCAGTGTGGCAAATGGGAAACCTAAAGTGAGGAGTTTGTTTTCCAGATAAATTATATAATTGTCTGAGGGTGAACTTGATGGGTTGTGTGACTCACCACTTGTGCAAAAAGCAAACTCTGATATTGGTAGGGTTTATGTTCTGGAGGAAAGATTTAATATTTGAGACCTCAACTGGGATTATTTTTAATGTTGTTGGAAATGTTTCTTTTTACTGAACAATGCTTTATCAACTGCTGACTAGGCAGGTGGCTGTGGGCACGGTCTCTGGGTGGTGGGTGAGTCCCGCTTGGATTGGGGGATGGGGGTGCTGGGAGGAGCAGGGAGCTCCTAGGACAGGTCTGCCAGACCTGTGGGAGGTGAGGTGCAGAGGAGGTGGGGCACAGGTGGAGGTGGAGCAGGGGCTGGAAGCTGCCAGAATGATTGGGTGGGAGCAGGAGGCACTGAGGAGCATTTGGGACAAGGCTGTCATTTGAGGCTCCCTTAGCATGCCTGCCTGCCATGGCACCTTTGACTGCACCCCGACGACTGGCACTTTTCTTCTGAGGCCATAGATGGGCAGAGACGCGGCCTGAGCCTTTTTTGTATCCCTAACCACAAAACACAGTGCCTGGCCACAGGGTTGCCTGGAAGGGATAGGGGTGAGCAGGTGGCAGAGAAGGGAGGGCCAAGAGGTGAAGGCCATTGCTCCCTTTAGGATCCTGTCAAAGCCAAGGGCGACACTAGTAGAAATTTTAGAGACTTCTGAAAATGGTTTGGTTTTCATATTTGTTAGTTCAATTACAGTTGTCAGCTTCCCATTGTTCGTCATCATGCCCTCAGAACTCAAAGTGGCATTGTGGGTTTCTTCCTGAACCAGCTGGAGGGAGAGATGTTGGTGATCCTACATTCTAGGCTGATGAGTGGACAGTGGCAGGTGGGAAAGAGAAAGTGCCGTCTGAGGCCTCAGGAGCCATGGGAGATAAGGGGGGAGCCTGAGAGGTGGCCCCAGGCTGTTCCCTCTTAGCTGCCCTGTTCCTGCTTCCTCACAGTGCTAACGATGGAGGGCCCAGAGCGTCTTCTCCATGCGGGTGTTTGCAGGGCCCGTCATGTACAGGGCTTTCCTGCAAGAGCTCTCCCCAAGCCTTGGGCCCCCAGAGACCACCCTTATGCCCCATTTTCTCCCCAACAGCCTCTGCTCTCTGGGGCCCAGGCCTACTCCCCATTCCCACTATAGCTGAAAGTCATTTCTTATTATTGCTTCCCCTTAGTAGGGAAATACAAATACATGGTATGCATGTCTATTTTAGGAAGGGCAGGCACCATGCCTGTTTCTATTCTGTGTACCAAGCAACCAGCAGGGCTGTACGAGGCACACTTGATTGTTTGGGCTGCTTGGTTGAGGCTGTGATCCATGAGCACCTTCCTGGCTCTGCTGACTTTGCTGTTGTTGAGACCGTTGTGAGGGGCCAGAGCATGGGGCTGGGAGTTGGGTTTGAGCCTTGGCTCAGGCACTAGCTGGTGACCTTGGTTATGTCCCCTCAGCCTTCTGAGAGACGAGGGCTTTGGTTGCAGTGCTTCTTATGTGGACCTTGTCCTTCCAAGAGACCTTGACCATTGCAGTACCTCTTGTGGGACAGTGGGAAGCAGGGGGCTGTAGTGCCACGGTAACCTTCACGCCACCTCTGGGCAAAGTTACTCGGCTTAAGGACTTTTCCCTTAGCCTCTCCAAGTAAAAGGGAGCAGCATAGATTTGGGGGAGCCTACTTTTCCATTCCCCAGGGGAATTATGAACTCAGGGACCATAGGAGGTCAGATAGGGTGAGTTGGGTGGGGCCGACCTTGGAGAATGATTTTGGGGGTCATGACTAAATAATCAGACAGAGTTCTGTGAGATAACCAGAATTCAAGTAGATAAAAGTTTAGTATCCATAAGAATTGTACAGACCCAAGGATAAGAGCAATATGAAAAGAAAACAGGATTATTTAGACTTAGATGGAAAACATGTAGTTACATGCCTTCAAGTTCAAATAAATGCAGAATCAGGCATGGACCCTGGATGGAGGTTATGGGCTGGACTCTGGTTTGAAACTAGGAAATTAATCACTTGTTTCTAAGGCAGTGGTCTCCTCAGCCACCTCCATCTTTAAGTTAGAAAGTTAAAGACTGGAAATAGGGCTTGACTGGTCCATAGAGTCACAGTGAGGGTTTAGTCAGCATCCCACCCAAAGTCTCTCATAGATTAGCAACCTCAGAGAGAAGGAAATTATCTCCCTTATGGGTAGACATTTTAGGAACCCACAAAAAATTAAAAATTCAGCACACAAATGTTCAAGGGAATCAAAACTGTAGGCTTTATTATTTTCAAATTCAAAGAGTTTGTTCATATATTATCATTTTGGTCTAGTCAGGCTGCTATAACAAAATACCAAAGACTGGGTGGCTTATAAACAGTGGAAATTTATTTCTCACAGTTCTAGAAGTCCACAATCAAGATGCTGACAGATTGGTGTCTCGTATCTAGGTCATAGATGGCTATCTTCTTTCTGTGTCCTCACATGGCTAAAGGGACTACAGAGCTCTATTTTATAAGGGCACTAATCTCCTTGATGGGGGCTCCACCCTCATGACCTTGTCCCCTCCCAGGGGCTCCACCTTCTAAATACCATCACATTGGGGGTTAGGATTTCAACATAGGAATTTGGTGAGGGGGCACACAAACATTCATTCCATAACAGTGATCCTTTATGTTAGTGCAGTTTGAAAGAGGATTTGGCTATTAGCAGACCACTAAAGACCACTAACATTCCACTTTTATATTTGTACTTGCATATTGATTAAGATTTGTAATTTTAAGTGGAAATCTCTCTAAGCTTACAGATAGATTGGAAATTTAAGAGAATTTAAGCTTGACTGATTTTTATATGCTTAATTTATTAAATCTATGAGAGTCACTTTAGTACTTGGGAAGGTTTGTCAGTTAGATGAAGTACTTAAAAAGGAATTGAATATATTAAATTTATAAATGCTGTTTAAAATGTTAAAGAGGTATAATTAACTAAGTGTATAAATGGGACTTAACATTAATCAAAAGCCCTCTCAACGTGGTTGTTAATATTTGCTAGACTTATAAATAGGATAATGAGATTCCTAAGCTGATTTTAAAAGCTTAAGGAAGAGCCATAAATTTCTCAACATATACATTTAATAAGTCAAATACTCACTTGAACACCCAAGCAAAGCTATGAGCCGTCTTTTCTGTGCACATAAGCCACCCCCAAGGTTAGAAGATGAAAACTATCCTCTAACCAGTGGGTGCATGTTCAGTGGTGCAGGGGAGAGGAGCATGAGTGGGCAATGAGAAGGGAAAATAAGATTTTAGTGTCACTGGATTGCTTCGTTCTTAAGGTCAGGTTAGTTAGTGTACTCTGCCGATGCCAGATCACTGGGAGGGACTATAAATACATGCACAGTCAGTGCACGGGGGAGCAGAATATCTGGCAACTAAGAAAGCAACGTGAGTTGTGATGGCTTTGGGCTCCTAGCAGCCCTCCTCAGCAAGCCCTTCTGGGTGGGGGTCCACGGTTCTGTTAGCTGTAAGTTATTCCTCAAATCATTTTCCTGAGCAAGAATAAGGATATTCATGGTAGAAGCTGAGGTTTTTTGTTTTCCAGAGGGATTCGCAGCTGAGAGCCAGCAAAATGTGCATCAGAATGTTTATTTGCCCTGGACAGAAGCCAGCTCTAGCCAATTTAAGCAGAAACAGAGCAGCTGAAAAGCTACTCACAGAACCTCTGGGAAGGTAGGAGAATCCAACTCAGAACTGATAATGGCTAGAGCAGGGTCAAATATGTGGTGTACAAAAAGTTTGGAGGCAATGCTGCTGCCCCTGAATGTGGGATGCCACAGTTTGAGCCCTGGGGGGTGGAGGGACTCTCCACTATCCTGCTTCTCTGCCTGGTGGATGCCTGATTGGCCGAAGTCACCTCATGCCCAAGCTGCAGGGAAGGCTGGGAAAGAGAATATGTGTTATCTTTAGCTTCTGTGGTAGGAGGAGGGCTCTGACTCCCTCTGAGACTTCTAGCTGTGGTGTGTTGGAGCCGGCTTACAAGAGCCCATTGTTAAAATTTCAGGGATTTTTGAGCTGGTTATGGAATACAGCCATTATTAAAAAGTAAATTACAGTAGGTGTACTTTTCCCTATTCTTCCTGCTAAGTACAACTAAAGCCCCTACACATTATATATAAAAGAAACACAAGAAGACTGAAAAGAGAAGGCAGACCAGCTAGGGACCCTGGGACGTGAGGAACAACACATTGATGGGATTTCTTTCTAACTCGTATTACCAAGTATGGAGGTGAAGAAGCTGGCAACCCAGAAATGCCAACAGATACAGACAAAAAGTTCCAACGAAAATCTGTTCTCTCTAGTCAAAGGACCAGGAAAAGAGCAACATAGCAAAACGGAAAACTTTCAGACAGTAACTGCCAAATACCCCAGACAACTGTGGTCCCCTCCTTGCCCACACCAAGAAAAGCTAAGGGGGAAGCCTGCATTTCCAACCTTGAGAGACTGTGCAAGGTACCTCAGCACTCTGATGGTGTCATAGAAAGTCAAGCAGTGGGCCTGGACTTCCACCTCCACCCGGCAGTAATGAGGCCCCTTCCCCTTCCTAGCTAGGCGGTCTCAGAGGAGGCCCAGGGGAGAGTCAGAACTTTCACCATTGCCCAGTAGGAGACAGAGGCATGTCATGATAACAGAGTCAATCCACTACAAAGACTTAACAATCATAAACGTGTGTGCCCCAAGCAACAGAGATGAAATAAATATGTGAAAGCAAAAACCGATTGACCTGAAAGGAATTGAACTATAGTTGGAGACCTCAACTCTCCTCTTTCAGCAATTGATAGAAAATCAGCAAGGAGATAGAATAATTCAACAACACCATCTACCAACAGGATCAGTTGCCACTTAAAGAATGACATCATGATACACATTCTTTTCAAGTGCTTATGGAATATATACTAAGACAGAGCATAACCTTAGCCATAAAACAAACTGCAACATATTTAAAAGAATTGAAATCATACAAAATTTGTTCTCTGACCACAGTGGAATCAAGCTAGAAAATCAGTAACAGAGAATAATAGGAGAATTGCCAAATACTTGGAAACAAAACAAGGGACTTATAAATAATCCATGAGGCCAAAAGGAAATCTCAAGGGAAATAAATATTATTGAACTGGATGAAATATAAATGCAATATGTCAAAATTTGTGAAAACACAGTTAAAGCAGTGCTAAGAGGGTAATTTATAGCACTGAAAGCATACAATAGAAAAGAGGAAGAATCTCAGATAATCTAAACTCCTACTTCAAGAATCTAGAATTAGGATGAGCAAACTAAATCCAAAGCAAGCGAAGGAAGGAAATAATAAAGATAAGATTTGAAATCAATAAAATGAAAACAAAAACAATAGAGAAAAATAAGTGAAACTAAGAGATAGTTCTTTGAAAAAGTCAATAAAATTGACAAACCTCTAGCAAGGCTGACAAAAAAAAGATGGCACAAATTACTGCTATCAGGAATGTAACAGGGGATATCATTACTGACCCTACAGACATCAAAAGGCTAATAAGGGAAAACTATGAACAAATCTGTATAAACTTGACAACTAGATGAAATGAACCATTTCTTAAAAAACACAAACTACCATAACTCTTTCAATGTAAAAAAGGTAATTTTAATAGACCTCTAGCCAGTTAAGGAAACTGAATTCTTAATTTAAAAATTTCCCAAAAGGAATCTCTAGATCGAGATAGTTTCACTGGAAAATTCTATTAAACATTTAAAGGAGAATAACACCAATTCTATGGAATCTCTTTCAGAAAACAGAAGAGTAGGGAACTCTTCCTAATTCATTTTATGATACTATTAGTATTAGTAGGTATTGATAGATCAGTATTATCCTGATACCAAGACCAGCCAAAATAATACACACATAAAAAGAAGAACAGTATCCTTCAGGAATGTTGATGCAAGAAATCTTTTAAAAAAAATAGCAAATATAATTCAGCAATATGTAAAAAGAATTAAATATCATGACCAAGTCAGGTTTATTCCAGATATGCAAAGCTGGTTCAATATTCCAAAATCAATTTAATCCACCCTATTAACACATGATCATATCAATTAATACAGAAAAAGCATTTGAAAAAATTCAACATCCATTCATGATAAAAATTCTTAGAAAAAATAGAAATAGAAGGGAATTTCCTTAATGTAATAAAGGAAATCTATACAAAATCTACAGCTAACACTATACTTAATGGTAAGAGATTGAACACATCCTCCTAAGACCAGGAATAAGATAAGGATGCCCTCTCTTACCTCTGTTACTCAACACAGTGCTAGAAATTCTAGCAATAGGCAAGAAAAAGAAATAGGAGTCATACAGATCGGAAAGGAAGAAATAAAATAGTCTCCATTTGCAATTAACATGATTGTCTACATAGAAAATGCTAAGGAATCTGCAGAAAGAAAGCAAAACAAACCTCTAAGAATGAATGAGTTTGATAAGGTCACAGAATACGAGATACACATATAGAAATCAATTGCACTTCTTAATACTAGCAAAAAAAATTTACATCCATTCAAGAAAGTGAAATATTTAGGTATAAATCTGACAGAACTGTATAGGACTTATATGTAGAAAACTACACAAAATTGATGAAAGAAATCACAGAAGACCCAACTAAATGGAGAGACTGTTCATGGATTGGAAGACTCAACATCATAAAGATGTCAATTGATTATAATTTTAATACAATTTTTATTGAACCTAGGCAAGATTTTTTTGTAGATATACAAGATTATTCTAACATATATATGGAAAGGTGTAGAAACTAATAGTTAAAACAATCTTGAAAAAGAAGAATAAAGCGAGATGCAGAAGACTACCTGATTTCAAGACTTACTACATTGCTACATAATCAAAATGGTGTGTTATTGGTTGGGGGATAGACACAATTTAATGAAACAGAATGGAAACCTCAGGGATAGACCTACACAAATATGCCCAAATAATTTTTAACAAAAATGCAAAAGCAATTAAATGGAGGAAAGATAGCTTTTTCAACAAATGGTGATGGAGCAATTAGACATCCACAGGGAAAAAAATTAACTCTGACCTAAGTCTCACACCTTCTGTAAAAATTAACTCAAAATAGATCACACAGACTGAAGTGTAAAACCTGTACCTATAAAAATTTTAGAATAAAAAGGAGAAATTCTTTGTGATATAAGGCGAAGCAGAGTTCTTATACTTGACAACAAAAAGATAATCCTTAATAGGAAAAATTGATAAACTGGACTTCTTCAAAAGTTTTAAATTTTGTTCTGTGGAAGACCCCAAGATAAGTTACAGAATCGGAGAAGATATTTGTAAGCCACATATCTGACAAAGGATTAGTATCTAGAAATATATAAAGTATTCCTAAAACTCAACAACAAAAAGCAAACAATACAATTTGAAAAATAGGCGAAATGTGTGAGGAAACATTTCACTGAAAAGGATATACAGTAGCAAATAAACACATAAAAAATTGTTCAACCGCATTAGTCATTAGGGAAATGCAAATTAAAACTGCAACAAGGTATCACTATACACCTATCAGAATGGCTAAAATAAAAAATAGTGACAACACTAAAAGGCTGATTATGTGGAAAATCTGGATCACTCATATATTGCTGGTGAGAAGGCAAAACAGGACAGCCTCTCTGGAAAACATTTTAGTAGTTTCTTAAAACCTAAACATGCAAATAGTAACTATACTAGTTGGGATGAGTATTTAATAATGTAGATAACTGTTGAATCACTATGTTGTATACTTGAAACCAATATAATATTGTATATCAACTATACTTTAATAAAATAAGTGCATATATAAAAAACCCTAAACATGCAACTTGCACTGCTGGGCATTTATCCCAGAGAAATGAACACTCAACGTTTACAAAAACGTGGACACAAATGTTTATAGTATATAAAAAATAATATTTATTCACAACAGCCCCAAACTGGAAACAATACAGATGTCTTTCCATGGGTGAGTGGGTAAATAAACTGGAATACTAGTCAGAAATGAAAAGGAATGAACTTTTGATATATGCAACAACCTGTGTGTATTTTCAGAGAATAAAGTAGGGTGAAAAAATCAACCCCAAAAGGTGAAGCAGTGTATGATTCTACTTATGTAGCCTTCTTGTAATGACAAAATTATAGAAATAGAGAACAGGTTGGTGGTTTCCAGGAGTTAGGAAGGGGATGTGGCTAAGAGGGAAGTGGACAGCTATGCAGGGGAAGCATGAGGTGTGATTACTGCAGTAGCAGTCCTCTGTGTCTTAGCTCTGTCAGTGTCAACATCCTAGTTGTGAGGCTGATTTCAGAATTAAAAGTTTAATCAGAAAAGTCAATTACATAAACTCAAATACATTTAAAACGAAGCATTAAATATTCTATGTGTACTGTGCCTCTCTTCCCAGTTCTGTGTTTAGTGTCATCACCCTGGTAGCTTGAAATCAGCCGTCGGGAGAGTATAGACACAGAAACGAGCACACACTGCACCCTAGGCCTGCCCTTCCTTCACAGCAGGCTGTTAAACTTTTACCAGGACACCACTACTCATAAGGTAAGGAATTTCCTAAACACAGAAGTGGGTTTAGATCCTGGGTGACCGCCCTACCCCTCAATAACAAATGTCTGTCTGAAAATGGATAATGATTCAGAACAGTTTTGAGAGGAAGAAGAATCTGGGCTTTTCTTAAGGTTATTTCCTCTTTACTTCATTGCTACCTTCATTTTATACAACGCAATTGTGGATTATGGGTACTTGGGGAAATGGAATCCTGGTTGTTGATAATCTTGTTTTTTGAATATTCAGCAGAAAAATGGCAGGATGGTGGAACTGCAAAAAAAAAATGGAGCCTTATGAGTGCTTAGATATCTTTGTATTTTTCCAATATCCTCTCTACTCTCTTTCTTCAACAAATTCTGACCCTTTGTTAGGCATCCTGGTCTAGGAGGATCCATGTAGCTATTGGTTTTGCTCTCTAGCAAACTTCTCCTTCCCACGCTTCCCCATCTGGCCACAGGTGAGGGGGGAGTGGGCCCTGATCTTGTGCACAGGGGTCTGATCAACCATCCTATCCCAAATTGCATCTATGGGGACTGGTCTGAAGGATGGGCATGCACAGACCAGGGGATACCTGGACACTGGTTATAAGCTGTTCTTGTCACCCCCTGGGGTTGCTCTATTGGCATGGGCAGCATCTGTGCTCCCTGCCACACAGAGAGGGCCTCTCTGCAGTCAGAGTGTGACCAGCATAGAGTGAGGCAGAGATGAGAGGCAGACAGAGTCGTCTTTGGGTTGAGTTCCTGGGAGCCCCTGAGGCTCTCTCTGCTCTTCCTAAATTCCATTTTTGTCTGAAGCAAGTTCAAGTTGAGTTTTTTGGCACATGAGGCCAAAAAAATTCCAGATAAACAGACATTCCTTATAGAGCCTACCCCGATCTTTATGGCTTCTCTTCCCTCCTCTGGTTTCCCCTCTATTTGAAATTTATATACTTGGCCTAAAACTGCCAATCACAACCTAAAATCGTGGGAAACCCTTTCCATCTAGAGATAATTTCCAGAGGTCCCCTGAGTAGATGCTTCTGCCCCCCGAGTGTTCTTGGATGCTGCGGCCATCCGTGGGTTGAGTCAGAGACAGGGTAACAGCATGGTTCTGCTGTTTTATAGCCTGAAAGAAACATTTAGGCAGGAGTACACATTTTTTTCAATATAGAGGAAACCTCCAAAAATCAAGCCAAATGTTCTTGAGAAACATTTTGTGGTGTTAAACTGATTGGGTGCTAAGACACCTCTGTCTTTGGCTCCCATATTCCCTGATTTATTTTGGCACCAGAAGGTTTGTAGTGCCACCATCCAGCCACATGCTAATTGTTTTGTCTATGCAAGGGTGTAAACTGCATATGGTTTATTTCAATTAGCTTAATTGTCTTTGGTATTTAATAGTAATTGTCTTAATTAGCTTCCAAAACACAACAATGCCAACAACAGTAATGACTACCTCTTATCCATATGGTTACAGAAGATGGATGACTCCATTTCCTATCCTCAGGCTGTGTGAGTCCCAGGAGGACGACCTGGCAGATGCGGAGGAGAGGGTGGAAGTCCTCCAGAGAGCTGACCTGGCCTTGAATGCAAGATCTGAATATGAAGAGTAAATGAGGAGGTGATGGACAGGGGAATAAAACAGGAGAATGAAGGATTTATGTAGGACTAGAGTCATCTGTTTTCGTAATGTACATACCATGGAGTGATGCTGGGTGAATAATAATAACAAATAATTTCCCCATGCCGGCAGGCTATATTGGCTCTGATCTGAAGAGGCAATGTTTGAAGATCAAATTGTGAGACACTGAAAGTGAGAAATGCCCCATAGTGCAATCTGTCTTAGGAAAGCTGGTACCAGTCAACACCCTGGGTGACATTTCTTTGGCAAATCTGCCTTCGAAGAAGTTCATAGCTAGTGCCTGGCATATATTAGGAGCTTAATATATGTTTCAATCAGCACCTGTCAGGGAGTCCTTTGGGCTCAATCTTCAAAATATATTTAGAACCTGACACTTAGCACCTCCTTAACTTCCACTGTCCTGCTCTGATCCACCATCAGTTTTGACCTGCCTGCCTCCCCCAGCCTCCCCACTTGTCTCCCTGTGTCTACCCTCAGCCCCTACAGTTTATTCTCAACACAGAGGAATCTTTTACGCTGTAAGTCATATCATATCACTGCTCTTCTCAGAACCCCCTAATGCTTCCCATCTCACTCAGAATAAAAGCTGGAGTCCTGGCAATGACCGGTGAGGCCCCACCTGATCTGTATCACCTTTCTGGCCCATCTGCTCCTGCTTTCCCTCATGCCCTCACGGCGCCCGCACTCAACGTGCCTCCCATGTTGACGCTTCAGGGCTGCACTGGCCAGCTCCATTCCTTCCAGGAGCAGGTGGCTAATGAATATTGCACTGGACAGTGTGCATATACAACATTTCCATCATCATCAAAAGTTCTACTGGACACTGCTGCTTGAGGGACTTCACAATGGCTGGAGAGCTCTTCCCAAAGGTGTCTACATGGTGAACCCCCCTCAACCCTGAGTCCACTCAAGTGTCACCCTCTCCAAGAGTTCCCCCAACCCCTGCTAGCCGCCCAATTTAAAATTGCCGCCCACAACCCAGTTCCCCACCAATCGCTCCTGCTTCCCTCTGCTCTGTTTTCTCTATAGTGCTTAACATCTATGGCATAGTATACATTTTAATTATTTATTATACTCTTTGGTTATCATCACTCCCCCCATGAAAATGTGAGCTCCCAGAATAGGTTTTTTTTTTTTGCTGTTTTTGTCCACTGCTGTATCCCTAGCATCTAGAACAGTGAATAGCACAGAACAGACACTCAATTGGTATTTGTTGAAGGATTTAATTAATGGCTCAACATATTTACTGGGTACCTTGCTGTCTTCCAGGCTCTGTGCTAGGCACTGGGAATATATAGAAGAAGAAAATATGGTTCCTGCTGTCCTGGAGTTTCTATTCTAGTGGGAGGGAGGGACAAGTTAACACACAAATATCTATCAAATACAAATTCTGAAGAGTTCTATGAAAGAGACAAACAGGGAGCAGAAATAGAATATCCTGTGTGTGTGTGTGTGTGTGTGTGTGTGTGTGTGTGTGAGTGAGGATGGGGAGACTTTGATGAGGAACCAACTCTGCAAGGAAGGGTGGAGATGGAGGTTAATGGGGGGGGTGTTGTATTACAGAGGAAAGAGCATGTGCAGAGGTCCTGGGGTCAGCAGGAATGCATGCAAGGGTGAGGGAAGAGTACATGGGAGATGACCATGATAGGCATCATATGCCAGTCACCGAGGTAGGGCTGCCTTGCATGGCAGTACTACTCAAAGTGTGCTCTTGAACCAGCAGCATCTGAATCATCTGGGATCTTGTTAGAAATGCAGATGCACGGGCCAACTTCAGACTCTGGAATCTGTATTTTAACAAGCCCTTCAGGTGATCCTAATGCTCATTGTTCAAAAACACTGCACTCCCTACAGAAACTAAGCACTGGTGGGCACCTGATGGCCTTTGTTTGATGAATGAATGAATGAATGAAGGGATATGACAACCACCACAGTCAGTGCCTATTCCTTTTTATGTTCTCTTTGCTTGGCAGAAGCTCAGGTAATAATTAGCAGGGAATACAAAGTGATGCTTTGTTTATTGAGCCAGAGGGCAATCACTAAGACAAAAAATGAAAGAGAAGGAAATCCCTAAATGACATAGGAATTCAAAGATTTGGATTTAGAGAGGTGGGTGAAAGGCATCCCTGACTGGGAAAGCAAAGGTTTAATGCTGAGAGGAGTGTGGCTTGATTATGGGATAGAGGGAGGCCACCGGCCAGAAACGGTGCTTTGTGTGAGATGAAGTGGGGATGACTGGAAGGTGGAGAGGGCTTTCCTGCTGTTGTCAGAAAGTGCACAGTAGGCAAGGGGAGCTGGTCTTGGATGTTTTTAGGAAGATAGTGTTGCCATTTGCAAGGCTGTTTGAGTGACAAAGGGTAGAGTGGACTTGGCATTACAGAATACCTCAGTGATACATTTAGTGTTAAAAGAGCAGGAAGTTACCCTTACCATCTAGCATTTTCTACATGCCACATACTGTTCTAGGCACATAACTTGCATATGCTCATTTAATCTCCACAATCCAATGAGGAACCTACTTTCTTATTTAACCAATGAGGGGACTGTAGCCCAGAGAGGTCAAGATTACCCAGCCAGTAAATGGTCAAACCTATATTGAACCTGGGGAGTCTGGTTCCAGGGTACTGCGCTGCCTGTCCTGCACTGTGAGCCCAAGGGACCTTGGGAAATAGCGCTCTGCCTCTCTGCTCATCAGTTCTCTTGGAGGCCCTCCCGGGAGGGCTGGGTGAGAGCTGCAGAAGGTCCCTCTTTCCTGGCTCCTTCTGCCTCCCCTTTGGCTCTCTCCTCTATCAGCATCCCACTCCTCCCTGTTCTATCCTCTGGTTCCTGTGGTTAGTGTGTCAGCCAGTTGGCGTGGGTGGGTGGGATGTGTAGACTGCTTGGCCAAAAAGGAGACGGCATTCTCCAGGCAGGGCTGCAAGAGACAGGCTGCCATCCGCTTCAGCAAATGACTCCCGGTCCTTCTCCTTTGCTGGCTTTGTATTTATTTTAGACTGTTTCTGTGCACATTTTGTGAACATGTCCAGTCAGGGTGTGGCCTGGGTGTAGCCTCTGCAAGGACCTGGCTTTCTATATAAGTAATTTCACAGGTAGCAAAGCAAGATATGTAGCTTCTATAAACAAGTCTTTTCCTGGGCCCCATTTGGGTTAGCAGGGCTATGCCAGAAACTGGTTCTGGCCTGTCCTTAAAATAGGGACATGATCAGGTTGGCTTTAAGAGTATTCGCTGAGAGGCTGGGACAGGATTCAAGCAGGAGAGGCTGAGAGATAAGCCTGGGGTGGGGTAGGGAGACCTGAGGGTGAGGGATGAGCAGTGAAGTAGAGAGTCACGTGGGGACAGGGGTCAAGCTCATACATTTTCTATCATCATGACCCACTGGATTCTAACGAACAATGTGCCACTCCAAATTGGGAGAGTGTAGTGTCAGCATGTGAGCTGTCGACCTCGCTGTGATCCTCCTGGGACTAACATAGGCCATTGAAAGTGCTCACTTGATATTCAAATATCCCCTTTTCATTTTCTTCTCTCTGAGGAAATTGACTGTAAGTGGCAACTTCACAGACTGTCCTGAGCTGCAAGTTCACTCGCTCTAAGAGCAGTCCCTCTTGGAATTGAACTGTTAACTAATCCAAACACAAGTATACGAAGTCGCCAACCCTGGCTTCAGCAATTACCAAGGGCACCTTGTCAGACGGTACTTCTTAAATGGCTGGAATTGCCGCTGCCACTTTAATCAGTTCTCAAGCTTGGGGAGGCTGAGAGTCTCCTTTTTTCTGCCTCCCTCCTGTTTTCCATGAAAGAATTGCAGGGTCGGTCCTGGATGGGATGTCTTTTTTCTTTTTTTCCCTCCATTTTTCTGGGAATCCTGTGGTAAGGCTCAAAGCCTGAAGATGGTAAAGCTGAAAATTAAGCACTGAATGTTCAAGTGCCTGGAAATGTGCCCATTCCTTGAACAACAAACAGAACAGCGGGTAGAGCTCACCTAGAAACTGAAATGATGAGCGAGCTGCGGAAGAAATACATGTTCATAAGGCAGATGAACCTTGAAAGCAGGAGCTATTTTGATCAAGGTCACTGTGTGGTGCACACTTGTTCTGACTCTGAATGTGTGAACTTGGGCTGGCCTGTCTCCCTCCTGATTCGGGCTGCTCTTGGCCAGGGGTTGCTAAGGGGTGGGGATGTTAGGTGTGGGAGATGTCTAGCATTCAGTAATATGAGAAAGGGATTCTGTTGAGAGTCACTGTGGCCAGGCTTGAATCCTGGCTTCACTGTCTACTAGATAAATGAACTTGGTCAATTTACTTGATCTCTCTGTGCCTCAATTTCTCTGTCTATAACAGAGAATTTCTCTATAACAGCCTCTCTGCACTTGCTAACCTCCCTTTAACAGACAGCAGGGCTTTATTTCAGAGTTAGCTAGAATGTAATCATACTGTTTTTCAGTATATTAATTTCAATGGTTATCTCATATTTATATAGTGAATGAAACTGGTTTTCTCTTTATAACAGTGACACAAGGCTTTTTTAAAAAGTAACTTTATTTAAATAAGAGGTGAGTTGGCTTAAACAAAAATATTGAGAAAATGATAGATGTAAGTGGAAAATGAAGAAGGCAAGGTTATAAAGGTGGGACATGATTGACAGAAGGGGTAGATGAGATAATCTTGTCTAAAAGAACTTGAAGCACAAAAATCTCCAGAATGATGACACATGTGGGCATTTTTACATGCTGGTGAAGGTGCTTCAGCACGAAGCTTCCTCTGGCTTCTTCCTGGCTTCTTTTCCCTTTTCCGTCTGTGAATGGCCAGTTAGATGAGCCACTGGCTCAGCTGAGTGACTGCCCCATTCTATGCCCACAGCCTCTCCATGCTCCTGCCCCCTCTGCTACCTGGGATGGAGGCTCCCAGGGGAAAAACGCAGACTCTGATCATCAGGGCTGGGCACTGGGGACTGTAAAGGGGGGACATGTCACACTACACTGGAAGTGGAATTGTGAAAA